CTAACTAACTAGTCGTGCTTATCGACATCTCCCATATTTTTACTATATAAGTTTATAATTTCAGGACATTCTATAATCACCGAACATTTTTCCTTCCGATCAAACCTTTTTACTTTAATAGGAATTCCTAATGGAATAAAATTGGAATAAAATAAAACCAATATTGACAGCTTTATTGTTAAACCATTTAACCAACGTAATATTATGATTTGAAGACACTTCAAAACTGGTTCCACGACCCATCTTAGCAAGTTCTTTATCTTTCGGAAATGGAGGGTTACAAAATTGATTGCATCGAATTGTGCCAATCTCAAATAATTTATATTTTAAAAGACAGCTAAAAAGATTATATGACGAAAAAAAAATTATCAAAAAATAAGTTGTGACTATAAGTTTTCAAGTTTTCTACTAATTTGAACACAACCACGCCGTCTAGACCGTAGTTTTTCTGCATAAAATCGTTGATATTAGTATTTGAGCCTTGACATAATAGTGAATTATAAACTTTGTTTATAAACTAACCACTTTGTCCACATAGTAAAAAATTCTTTATACCCCACGGAGTAGGTTTTCCTTTTATGTACTCTTTTATGGACAGATTACCTTTAAATGGAATTATTTGTTCATCAATACATACATTTTTTTTCTTTTGGAAGGTCTGAACACCGTTTGATAAACGAATTATAAAGTGAACGAATTTTTACAAATTTGTCACGGTTATCATTTGAAATAGATTCATTATCAATAACATGGAAATAATTTTGAAGCTGAAAAAAACGGTTCCGGGACATATTGTCTGCAATAATGTATATTTGATATTTGTTTTCCCAATACATACGACTCCGGGGATAGTTCAATACACCAAATAACATATGTATAGCAATCATTATTTTCATTTCAGCGGAATCAGTTTTGTTGAAATTATTTAAGTTTTTTTGTTCCGAATAAAGATTAGTATATTTGGTCATATTAGCAAAGTCATTTTCACAAAAATATTTAGAAAAATAATCAATGGGATTAGGAATTGTTGTCGGATAAATTGGCTCAGTTATCGGTGTTAAATTAATTATTTGGGGAGAAAACGGTGTTTTTCCTCAAATTATATTTCGTTTTTCAATAGGAATAAATTTATCCCATTTTATTGAATTTTCATCACTATGCGATTCAGCGAGAAGTATATTTGTTATATTATTAACATTTTATTAGAAGCCGTTAAATTTAAAGGCTGTTCATTTAAAATTTCATTATTTATGAGTACTTGTTATTCAATCGGTTCAAATTGTTCGTCATCTGAAGCAAATTGATTTTCAGTATCTTCTAAATCAAAATCATAATCCGAAAAAATATTAGATAAAAGGTATTCAAATTCCTTTTCAGGAAAATTGCCTACTATTTCTTCGTCACTAGATAACGAAGAAAGATCGGAATCTCGACCAAAGTTTAAGAGATCAACTAACTCGTTAGGTCTTAAACCTCTCGCCATGGTAAATATACTTTATGTAACTACTTAAATTTTAAATAAAGATTTATAAATTGAAATAATTTCGAATAAAAACGTACAAAAAAAAATACTGTATAATTATATTCGATAAGCGTAATCATTCCATTACCACGTATGCGAGCGTTATGCTCTACTCGGTGTTTTTAATCCCAATGTACATTATAATGTGTATAGTTTACCGCGTTTTTCTGAAGAAACAAATAAAGATAGGAAACAACTGATTTATTAGATAAACACGTGGACTTGTAATTGTTAATAACATCATGTACAACTATTTTAGCGCTATCTAGGAACAATCATAGATTTTCCAAAAAAAAAACGACAAAATAATCAACGGCCTCTTATTTTTTAAGATTAATTTACAATTGCATGACTTATGAAAGTAAATTCATTCATTTAATCAATATATTTCGTAAAAGTACATAATGTGTGACCATTATTCGGTTATTTGGTTAATAAATCTGTCATCAGTTATTTCAAAACGACATAAGAAATTCATGCACATTGTAATGTGCATGGGGTCTGAAAGGGTTGAGAATTTACAAATATAACTTCAATCTTTTATTTGATGATTTACTCATCTCATTAATCATATTATTCGGATTAACTTGTATATCTCTATGAATATTTAATAAAGCTAGACTATTAAGCCTATTTTGTCCTGTTGTATTTCTTTAGTAGGTCTTAATACGTCGCACTGTTGAAAACGACCGTTCTTCAGTGGATGTGTGTTAACTGGTAAAGTAATAAATATTTGCAGCAATTTTGAAATGATTGGGTATACTTGAGGATCACACTGAAAGTACAGGTCTGTAACAGTTTTTTTTGTTTGATTAATTTCTGACTGGTGCTTAAAACTATTTTGTTATAATTTTAATTCAGCATTTCTCGAATATTAACTTATATCAACCAAATTATTTTCATATATTTTATCTTTATATATTTCTGAAAGTAATTTAAAACTTTCTCCGATATCATTGCTAATTTTAAAATCTGAATTAGGAAATAAACAAGTAAAGATGCTTAATTTATTCTCGTGTGATAAAAATCGATCATGCAGTTGATCTATAAAATTATCCAAGAAAGGGACACATATTGTAACATGGTAATAACTTTTTGGATAGTTTATGGTTACATTACTTCTATGTGCTTGACGATCTGATATTCTGGGAATATAAACATAAATTCCAATTGTATTACAATATGCTTCAACAGGCTTAAATATTTTACTAAATTCTTTAATAGCATTCACACGAATATCTTTTAATGTGTTTTGAGTAACATTGGCAAAAGAAAGAGCTTATTTTAAATCTAAACTTTCAATTTGTAGAAGTCTACTCAGTAGCACAGATATTGAAAATAATTTAACTAAAATCATGAATGATACTTGGAACTTGGATTGGTTTATTGAAGCTGAAAGTTGATTAGCTATTGATGATGTTTCAACGTCTGTCCAAGAAGACATTTCATCTAGAGAAAATATAATTGCAGGCTGTAATTCATGAAATAGCATGACAGTATCATGGCGCTCTGCCCATTTGGTGGGGCAAAATGGTTTTTTGGTTTTTTTGATTTTTCACATAACAAACAATAATTATACGCTTAAACCAAAACAGAAATATCATTGTATCAAACTTACAGTTTTTCCTACATAAAAAGATATATCATCATTATATTCATATTCTTATTCACTACTTTTCATTATTTCACCAACATCAATCGCCTAAATTAAAAGCTGATATTTGATATAAAAAGCAAAAAATAAAAAATATATAAATATCATTATGACAGTACCTAGTTAGCGATTCATAAATTGAATAAAAGCAAATATGCGTTAATATAATTGTCATAATTGACATACTGTAAGCTAGTTAAGTGTTTGTTGGTGAAAGCTCAAGCAAAGAAAAAAGCTGAAATTTGAACAAAAAAAAATTGTGAATATATGTATGGGAAAATTCAGATAGGTACTTAATACATTATAAGCAGTTAATATTTCAAATTTATATAAAAAAACTATATATATATATATATAGTTATATATATATATATAAATTTATATAAAAACTAAAAAAATACTCATCCTTTTAGTATAGGTATAGAATAGTTTATGTCTTAGTTAATAATATACAATTAGCTTATTTGATAGGTACCTAAATTAACTGGTGTAACACGATTGCGCACTTTTACCTTTTTATATATATATATAATTTTTATATATTATATGGCAAACAACAATACGATTGCGCACAAAATGATATGTGTATATATAATTATATATATTGTATAATAATTTATGTACAACCTAAAATAATGTATTATTTTATATGTATTATATAATAATTATTAATTATTACATATTAATTCACAATTTTCCTTCCTAATTATTACAAGCAATTATTAATAAGCCTCGTAAAGAACACGAAGAAAATATTATCTTTCTAGTTAATACGTGGGAAAAATATAAAAATAACGATATATATATAGTTTTACATACATATATATATATTATATTATTATTATATTATATTACATTATATATATATATACTTTTTGAATCATCAAACTCTTGATTTCGGGGGTGCACTCTAAAAATTAGGACCCACAATCAGTGATGTTCCCATCATTTTTTATGAGAGTATACTACGCTGAAGAACGCCAAAATATAGGTATTTCATTTTTTTTACGATAAAAGTGGTAGAGAGGTTTAATTAATAACCAAAAAAATTACTATTACATTTTTAATATTAATATTTAATTTTAATATTTATTTAAACAAAAATGTTTATAATATTCAATTACGGTTGTAAAAAAATATTGTTTAAAAATTAATTATTTAAATAAATTGACAAAAAATTGTTTTCTTAACTCATCTTCTTTGTCGATGGTTTTTTTTTTGTTCTTTACCACGTGGAACTGAATTTGCTGATCTGTGGTTTCGCAGCCAAATTTTTACGTATGGTCGTGGATTGAAGTCTTCAACTGGGGTCCATTGATGGAGATGAACATTAAATCTGACACATTTTCAATCGTTAAACGAGTTCTAAGATCAGTTATGGTGAAATTCATATCAGAAAATCCTCGTTCACATTCGGTAGTTGTTGTTGGAAGTATGTTTAGTGTTTTTATAAGATCAGAAGATGTATTTCGAGAACGAAAGTTTACTAAACTTTCAAATTCAGATAGACCAAATCTGCGTGACACTCTTTTAACTTCTTCTTCTCATCTATCATCATCGGTTTCTATTTTAAATACCTCTATAATAACTTACAGGGTGAAAAAAATGCAATTTAGATGTTTGCGTAATAATTATAAGATTAAATTTTTCAATATTCCTTACCTTTAGATCTTGTAATATTGTTTTATTTTTAAGGTCATTGAATAAGCGCTGACGCATTCTATCGACTATATTTTTCAAGAGTTGCAATCTGTTGATTCCTCCTGACTTTGTGATTATAATATTTATGCCTTTATGAATTCGTTTTTGTATAGCTTCTATGATTTATTTTTCTTTTTCACCAGGTTCTGTCTTCAGGCTTTCTAGAATTCTAATTGTCCTACAAATTTCTGATTGAGCGCGCATTAATGTTGTTTTTCTTGATTGAAGTACATAAGACAACATTCTGAGTTTGAAAAGGACGTCACAAAAGAGTCCAAGCTCCTCTTGGAAAGAAGATTCTAATTTTTATTTTAGTCCAGTTTCAAGAGTTTGACTCACGTGCTTATATATCCCTGGATAGTTTTCCTATATGGCTATTATCGTACAAAAACTACTGGCAGACCAACGCACGTTTAAAATACGACCAATTTTTTTCATTTCAATTCCAACCTCCAAACAAGCCCTAGAATTTTTAGGACTTTGGTGATAATAAGAGTAAAGTTTATCCATTAAACTTTGAAAACGAGAAACACCTTGCACATCTTTTATGACATGTACTGAAAGTTCAAGTCGATGACATAAACAATGCCACGTAAATAGTTGCGGTATCTTCTCACAAAGTTTAGCAGCTACTCCAGATTTCGTGCCTGTCATTACACTAGCTCCATCACTTGTAAATGCAATCCAATTCTTCAATGCAAAAGACTTAGAAATTCCAATTTTTTCTAAACTCAACCACAAGGCTTTCTCAATATTTACAGCGTCTTGTCTATCCAGCTCTATTAAATCAAGAAATACTACAATAGGAGTCTCTGAATCAAAGTTTGATGAAATATATAAAATCAGTGTGCATTTTGTGCTCAGTGTAGCCGATTCGTCAATCATTATAGTGAATTTTGAATTTGACTCTATAAGACGTGTAATTAGCCGTTGGCGCATCTCTTTTGCGATAACGTTAATTATTCGAGTGGCAGTTATTCGACTGTGCAAGGAAGATCCCATGTCTAATCCATTAATTGTCTGCAGTTTAATAAGTTCTTCAAACTGTAGAAAGGGACGATGATGCTTCGCTAAGCAATAATAAATGCAGTTTGAAAAATTCTCATATTACTGCTAACCACAGTTTCGGACATATGTTCAAACATTCTATCCAAAACCTGTTCAGAGCCTTTCTTTAAGACGTTCTCAGAAAATAAATGAGATTTACTTTCCGAATGCTGTTTAATTTTATTTCTTAAAGAAGATAGCTAATTCGTACGATTACTTCCAGCAGCCGTTATTTCAAAGTCCATCCATTCACGTGATATTCGAAGTTTACCATCAGCAATGGATTTTTGTAACTCAATACTATTTTTTACCTGTATGCAAGTACAACACCCTAATTTCCCATTTTTACAATCTATCCACGGATTTTTCTTCTGAAATTCAGTTACCTACTTGTTCATTAGTCCATAACACAGGCCAACTTTTATGTATTTCCGTAATATTTGGATCACATCGAACCACGCAATCATTATTTTCCTCGTAGTATGGTAAAACTGATGGACCCACTACAGGAATATCAACATTAGAAATAAAACTACTTTTTTTTGTCCGGGGGAAAAGAAACTATCAAGGGGGTCACGTTTCAAATTTAAACTCATTATAACAACAAACAAATCGGAGTAACGGCTGTTTACATATCACTGACGAACACACGAACGATGACTGACGTCTATGTGTAAATATTAAATATTACACTGTGTAATATATTATAATAATTCATACTGAGTAATATGGTGTTATTTTTGATTATTATCGTCGTAGACTGAAGACGTCGACAACGATTACGGGAAATACCACCGATAACGATTATTTGTCGTCGTACGAGTATTGGTCAACTCCCCATGACTATCGTTATTGTCGTCTATCGTTATTGAGCGTCGTGAAACTGATTAGTAAAAACATACTATACTTTTAAGTTTTAAAAAAAAATACGTATTTTTCCTTTTTGTATAGTTTGTTTGAGAGTCTACGTAGTATAACCATGATATTTTAGAAAAAGCTTGAGAGTATACGGCGTATACGTAGTATACCCTATGGGAACACTAATGCCCACAATTATTATGAAGACCATAGGTACAGGAAAATGTTTATATAAAATACACTAAAAATAATTTATTTTTATTTTACTCATTGCAATAAATCTATCTTGGCCCATTTGTACAATACATCTGAGTTTATTTTTTCCTTATACTGTTTTTAATTTAAAAAATAATCAATTTTAGATTCTGAGCAGCTCATTCTCAATCGTATTCAACTATATCTTTTTTGGTCTTCCTGTTTCTCTTTTCCCTTTAACGTAGTCCTAACTTACTGTTATTAAAATAAAATAAAGTAATAATTAAATAATAAATAAAAATAAAAATATTCCAAAATTATTACAAAAATTAGAGAAAATATGTGTTTTTGCAAAAATCGAAATTGATTAATCAATATTTTTGAATGTACAACTTTTATGGTAATTTAAATCAATCAAACGATTACATTCAACATAACCACACGCTCCTTATGTCCCTTTGCTCCGTCGTCTGATTTGTTAATTTAGACAATATAGGTCATTCCGATTTTAACGTGAATTTGGTCCGCAAAATGTGCAACAAACTAGCAATGATTTGCCTTTCTCGTCAACGACTTCTAAGCGAATATTATTTGAATCTAACTCTAATTTCTAATTTCACCACGTCATGAAGGTGAACAATTACATGAAAGATTAAAGCTAACAAATATTTAATTTAAATGTATTGTTGATTTAATGTAGGTATTTAAATACTCGTAAATTCAAATTTTTGACTCAAAATTATTTGGAATTTACAATTTATTCACAAGTAACCGATAAATCGGTAAGATCTCAATATAATTGTATTCCACAATCATGAACACAAACTTACGATTAATATTGCTATGGTTTTGAACTTGACGTGAAATTGGTTAATTTAAAAAATTGATTTTTCCACTTTTTGGATTTATTCCTTAAAACCACATCAAAAATTAATAAAAATGGTTCTGGCTTATATAATATAACAAGAAAATGTGTAAATATGTGTGTTCAATATTGATTCATATTGCCTTCAAAATTAGATAAATTGCTTTGACTAATTTATTTTACTTTTATGCTCCAAATTATAATGGTTAAATAATAAATTCACAAGATGTCAACATTAATGCCATGTTTTTGTCCCAAGTTAACATGTTTTTCATGCTACGTGCGAGTAATTTTTAGAGCAATCGTATTATTGCCTCAATGTGACGAGCAGTCGATTACCAATCACGTCATGGTAAAAATATACAAATATGCTATAAATATTTAAAAATATTAAAATTAAACAGTTATTAGTATAGAAGCCTTAGTATTTTATAACAAATAAACATGAATCTTTAATCTAAATTATTTCAGAATAATTACAAGAGTGCAAAACGACCGATCATTAAGACCGTTATTGATTTCTTATTAACAAATAATATGCTCGAATCAAAGTCGGAATTCATAATTGTTGAATCTGCAGATACTTGTGCATATGATTCAAGTAAAAAAAAAATTATTGTGTTTTAAATATAGTGAATGTAGTAGTAAATACAGTAAAAGTAATCAATGAACATATCAGTTGATAATTCACAGTTTAGTTTACTTATCAATTCTATATGGAAATAGGCAAATAAACAGTTGGGGGTACATAAAGCAATGACGAGAAGTCAAGGGGTACGTGAATGGAAAAATAATGAGAAATGCTGTTTTACATGGTAACATTTTTGCATAAATATTGAAATTAAATAGAAAAAATTCAAAGTAACATCGACGTTTATTTTTATAGTTATTCAATAAGGTTAATAAGGCAATTTAAGTGTTTTTCAAATTTCAATTATTACTAGACCGACATATTTTTTATAGAGACACTAAATGTTTTTAAAATAAAAATAAAATATTAAATTTAAAATTGCTGTCTCTGTTTAAATTTATACCATCTTAATCAAAAATGAAAAAAAAAATACTGTTTTTACGGTAATATAGTTAAAAAAAATATTATAAATTTAAATTAAAAAAAATATCAAAACTGATTTATGAGAGATAGAAATCATCTATATATCTATTGACACTTATATAGATGAGGCAACAATCACGACTGTGACTAACAGATGTGAGGAACGTTCGATAGAAGAAATAGACGAACGCGGTGAACATCATTCACCGCAATCAAATAACGAAAGCGAACACGGTAATAGGACTGCAGACAATGCTACGCACGACCAACGTCCCGACATCGCTAGAAGATTTCTATGTACCATTTGCAACAAAGTATGCCTTTCTGCAGGGGGGCTCAGAAGACATCGCCTTGTCCATAAAAGATCAACAGTACGCTAAAACAACGAAAATCAACACAATAGATCAACTTCGTTTAAACACAGTTGAAAAGAATTACATTTTTTTGTTATAAGATATTACAAAATTATATATAATTATTAAATTGTCATATATTATTAGATACTTGGTAATCAGTATTGTAGACAATTTAGGTAAAATATAGTTATTAATTATCTTATCTAGATAAATAAATAGGCTATAACCGAATAATCATCTAGATCAGGTGTATGATGGAGCTTCTGCCATGCGAGGGCTATGCAACGGAGTGAAAGCAATAATAAAACAATCTTATCCATTAGCATTATATATACATTATTGTAGCCACTCATTAAATGTAGCTATATCTGATGCATGTGATTTAAAATCAATTCGCAATGCTGTTGGAATTATTCAAATAGTTTGTAGTTTTTTTTAACACACCTAAAAGACAGGATGATTTGCAAAATTCTGTTGAACAAATTTCTCCATTTTCAAAAATAAAAAATTGAAAGCTACATGCCCAACAAGATGGGTCGAACGGCATGAAGCGATTTTTGGAACTTTTTGATGAATGATAATCGACTCTTTATAAACTACTTCACTGTGATTTGATAGAGAAATATCTTCAAAAGCATGAAGTATACTTTTCTCAGAAGAAACTATAATTTCCATACACATTCTTGCAAAAGTATTTTTCTTAAGTAAGCCACTAAATTGTCAACTTAAAAAGAAGATATGGATTTGTCCATATCAATGGAACTTGCAGATAATATTTTGAGTGCAGTATGTTTATTGCGTATTAATGCTGCAGAAGAATTCAAATTAATTTAGTGATGTTGAAAAAAAATGTGAGTAATTGGGAATTATAATTTCAACACCTCGAATAGCTATAAACCGATCAAATCGTTTTAGTATTTTAACAAAATCACCTGAAATCTAGTTTAGGATTTTGATTTTTATATCATTCTTGGATAATTTCTGTAAACAACTAAATGACAGATTTTTGAATCCTAAGCCATTATTAAAACAATTTACTTGTTATATAAATGCAAATGAAAAAAATGAGACCAAATTCAAAGAACTTCTAAAGACATATTCTTCAGATATTGAAGCTGATGGTTGATTGAAATTAATTAGTGAGTTTACAATATGGTATCAATAGATGAAAAAAAAAATCCTAAAAATGCTATTGAAACTTTCATTGACTGTAATGAAGAAATATTTCCTACTGTTTATTGAATTTTACAAATATTGATTACTTTATCAATAACAACTGCAAGTAGTGAAAGATCTTTTTCTTCGATGCGACGCTTGAAAACATATCTGAGGAACACAACTGGTGAAAATCGCTAAAATAGCTTAACACTTATGAATATTCATCAAGATTTAATCGTAACCACAGACAAAATAATAGATACACTAGCTTTAAAAAGTCGACGCATTAAGTTAATTTTAAAATATTTTTATTAATTTTTTTATTAATAATAATATATAATAGTGATTGACAATTCAAAGTTACTTGAGGGCCATTTTTTAAAAAACTAAAATCTAGCGAGCCACAGCGTAGAAAACAAAAAAAAGTCATTTAAAATAAGAATTTTAATTAGCATTTTTATATACGGAAATTATTACATTTAAATTTTCATTTTTTCATTAATTCGTTGACAAGATAGAGCTCCTCAAAGTTGTGTGGTTTTAGGAGGTATTTGTATTTAATTGTGTTATACTTAGTTAATAACTCAGGCCGCAGTAATACTTATCACTTATAAAAAACTAGCAATTATAAGTAATAAACTTATGTAGTATTAGGCAATTTAGATTCATGTCAAATGAAATATTAAATAAACTAAAATAAACGGGTATTCATGTCTCAATAGGAAGTAGGTTATCATAACATACTAGTATACAAAAAGATAAATGTAAAAAAACTTGTTTATACTATGTTCAAATTAGCGTGTAAGCAATATATGTGTAATTAGGTTAAACTAAATGTATATAAGAGAGAAGATAAAAACAATAGTCTTCGAGAGTGGTCGTGCGATTCAACCACGATAGGAGATTTACAATTTTTCTTAAGTTTTACCTTATTTTTACTGGTGTGTTTGAGTCTATATGTACAATCCAATCGGCATATACGACACTTGATACCGTTTGACCCCTAGATATATATATATATATATATATATATAATACTAAATGTGATACAAATAAAACTAAGATAATAATATTACATTATAAACATTACCTGCTTCTTTTATTCAAATGCACACAAGTAAAATTTGTAAAATTAACAGCTTGACGTAACACCAATAACTACACTGGTGAATAAAATATACAAATGAGTTAACTTTGTATGGTGGTTAGTGTTGATAACCACCAAAATAAATGAAAAAAAAAACATATTCCACTCGTTCTAAAATTATTTAGAATAGTCAAATGGTTTCTGACATAATACTCGATTATATTAACGATAAACAAATACCAAGAATACAGTCAATCGATAGGGAATCAACATCATTAAAATGTCCCAATCTAATTTTTGATTTTGTCAAATAAATTAATTATATAAAATTTTATATAATTATGAAATATCTCATAACATCTAGTAGAAATATACTTAACTATTTCAGGTGGTTATTCCTACTAACCATCAAATGAAAAAAAGAGAAAAATAATTGTATAGGTGGTTAGCAACGCTAACCACTATGCAATTAGTAATTTTCTTAGGTGGTCAATATGATAACCACCATGCCGCAAAGAGTTAACTCTTTGAAGATTGTTGAAATATCAGATTTCGTCAACATTTCATTTGTTAAAGCTAATATAATTTTTTCACAACTTTCCGCTATATTTTTTTTTTATGACAAAGATAATCTTAAGAACATTTTTTTATCCAAATTCTTATGTATTTTTAACTATAAAAATGTACGACTAATATTTTATGAGTTAAAATCGGATTTTTGTAATATTTCTAGGTAATTATAAGTTGAATCTCAATGTACCTTTTTGATGTAAATCGAGTCCCGAGTAATTTTGAGTATACTAAATTACGTCCCGTACATTTTTTGAACATGTGTAAATTGCATCCCGGGTATTTTAATATTAAAATTTATATTACCAATTTACAACCAATATTTTCCTCCCCATTAAAAATATTGCTGTTTGTATAAACACTTTTTTATTTAAAATTAATAAACTATAATAATAAAAAAACAATTTTTATACGTCATATTATATTAATTATTAATTATACAATTAACGTATACATGACAGAAATACAGGCCGCAACTTACGTATGTTCCTGAAAAATACCGAGTTGCAACTTATGTATATTGTTATGGGCAGTGTTGTACTCAATACTCCGGCCCAGGAGAGAGCGACCGTCAGAACGCGTCCGTCGCTGCGCATCGGTTCCCCTTCCCATACACCGCACCATAACGGACCATATTTTCCTAAATCATCACCATCTTTACGATTGAACGACGGCACGAAACATCAAATTAATTTTAAATTATCATTTATTGTTACATTTATCTACTTAAGTATTTAATAATTAATTAATTTAATAAACCTTAAAATGTATAGACAATAAAAATTACAGTTACATCCGTGACTATGGTATGATCACATGAACGATAACCGTTTACGTACATTTATAAATTTTAGCGACATGCGCCCAAAAAAAGCAATTCAATTACGCACGATTAGTATGTTTGTATTTCATTAATTTTGATGTAATTGCTTCTTAAAACTAATTTATTGATATATTTTTTTTATTAAATTAATTAATAAATATTATGCGTACAAAAAATTTGCCTCATGCTGGACTCGATTTTGGCCAATTTTAAATAAATGTTGTACATATTTAAAGGATCCTACATTTTTTAATCTTTTTTTTTTTTATATCAAAAACAATTTTATTGTACCGCATAAATTCATCAAATATATTATTGCCACAAAATAGTGAATTGTTTTATTTTACATTAATATTTTACAGTAGGTGACAAATTATTGCTGATGAATGAACAAAGTAGCAAACGATTAGTCATTTTACATGTCAACATTTGTATTGGTGGGGTTTTTACATTTTTGTTTGTACACAAACGAGTTGAAAGTTTGCAAGTAAAAAAATTTTGTAATGTGCGCAAACCAGTATCATCAAACTATATATATTCATATTTATATTAAATTCTTACGACACTACTATATCCATTATTTACAATATTATTAATTTCAGATCGTAACTTTATAATTTGAAAACCAATTAGACATTTTAAATCAAAATATCACACAAGTTAAAGCCAAAACTTCATTTTCTAAACAATTATAATAAATAGTAATTTAATATAATTATTAAATAATATTTTATTTTGTATTGGCTGCATTTAAAAAATAATAATCATACAGCATAAAAGGCATGAATAAATAATGTGTTTATTTAATCGTAGATTTATTTAGTAATTGAAATTTGAATTGCTTAAGATTTCATTAAAACTATTTAAAACCTCATAATTTTCTCTGCGTTTGTAAAGTTTTTAATTTTACAAAGAATAAATAGAATTCATTACTACGATGGTTCAAAAAGGTGTACTATTCCAAATAATCGCAGCTTTTGCCGGTAAGTATACGACAACATTAGTACAAGTTAAATGTGAACATGTATGTCTTATAATGTTCGTGTATTGATGTATATAACTAGCTTTAAGAAAAAATTAATCAATTTTACATTAAACCATATCGTATTATACCGCTCTTGTTGTTATAATTCATACCTAAGATAAACAATTTTCTAAATACTTATACTTGAGCCAACGTGGTATTAACTCAAATAAATAAAAAGTAAAAAACGACTTAGTGCATTCCGAACATAATAATCCGATAAGTTCTGTAAAGCAAACTAAACGCATGCGAAAAACTTTAAACATTTGTTACTTGGGTTTTAGCTACTCTTGGAGCAATGACCATGGGCACAATTCTTGGCTGGTCATCTCCGAGCCTGACTATATTGCCCGACGCAGTTT